GTTTTCCAACATGCTTGTCTAATAGAACAGGGGTATAAATTAAAGTTAACCGCAGCTTTTAGTTCCCTCTTGTCGCATGAAAGGTTGTTTTCAGATTAGGAACATGAGATTTTTAGTTTACAAAGCAAGCAAAATTCCATTCCTTTTTTTTATTTGAAAGGTTTAGTTAATGATAATATTGGATTTCTTTACTCAACAAAGTTGTGAAATAGATTACACAAGTATGTCGGTTGGGATAGTACCATTAAATTTCTTGATGCGCTGCTGCCTCTTGGATGGCTTAAATTCGTGCCAATGTCACTACCCTTAGTTGAAAAGGAAATGAAGATAGATACAAGTAAAAGGAAAAGTAGAAATAGCATGGCGGAAAAAGTTGTTTCTATCCTGATAGACAAGAAAGACAATCCGATTTTCAGAGATGAGAATCTAAGCCCTGGAACATGTACAACACCGCTAATGCTAATGGTAGAGATATTATAAGAGAAAAAATACAACACCTCACTGCTCAATCTGACGAATTTCACTCAGCTTTCTGCAATAATGTTGTGTGCTTCAGTTGCGATATCTACAAGAAAATAGGCAAAAGTTAGCATAAGAGATGATATTTAGAAAGGTATTTTTCAAATAATGATTCGTGAACTACTATGGCCTGAGATGTTGATTTAGAAGAGGTCTATTTTTAGAAAAGTTAGTTTATTGTGCATGCTAAACAAGACATTTGGATTTGGACAATAGCTAAGAAGTTCAATAAGATATTTGCAAAAAAGTCTTGCTCTGCCAAATGCTGACTACCCCACCCAGAACTTACATATTCCAGCCACAAACAGGTTAACCACCTCCAGATTTTGTCTAAGATTAGTATAATTTGCTTTTATTAACCACTCCAGATTTTGTCTAAGATTAAAATAGTTTGCTTTTATCAACATCCCATTCCTAAAGAAAAAAAAATCATCATTTTTGTCACATTGTGTGTGAGTATTTTAATGTAGTAATGTTGATTTGATGCTTTACTTCTGAATTTTAAAACAAATAAATACTTGAATTTTTAATGAATTCTTGGCCTACAAAGATGTGGTGAAAGAAATGTATAAATTACGACTCCGATGGGGATCGAATCCAGAATCTCTGGTTTTGTAAACCAGCGCCTTATCCATTGGGCCACGAAGTCCAATGCTTTTGCAATTAAATTTAAACATTAATATCTTTTAACTTTTGTAGAACTTATTCATTGGGCCAGGGAGTGTTGTGTTTTTATGATTTAAAATTTAAAAATAAATAAATAAAATTAATATTAGGAACAACATAAGGGCCCTACCAAGTTCGAACCGGTGACCTCTTGCTCTGCAGTCAAATGCTCTGCCATTGAGCTAAAGACCCTTAGATGCAAAATTGGACATTTTTCCCTCTATGACTTCTACAAAAAATTTTGCTAATTGCATTTATGTTGATAATCAGAACTTCAATAAGCAAATGCTTTAATCTGTTGGAAAAATTGCATTTTAAGTGGCTATTTTGTTGTACAATTATCAGTGGGTTCCACTTCCGATTTGGGTCTTGTCAAAGTGGATTCGGGTTCTTCGTAGTGAGACGAAGAGATTGATATATTGTACACTCAAAACGGATAATGGGTGAATGATATATTGATTCTCAAAGTAGACCCATTGATCGAGTTGGAAAAATGAAGGGAAAAAGATGAGATTTTGTCCCACATTGATTTGGGAAATAGATTTGCACCACCATTTATACAAGGGTCTTTTATTAGCTTATTGAATTGTATAACATAGATGTTCTCCCTCCTGTGAGTATATATATATTATATTATTTTCGTAAATCGACTTGGTTCATTAGTTTTCCAACATGCTTGTCTAATAGAACAGGGGTATAAATTAAAGTTAACCGCAGCTTTTAGTTCCCTCTTGTCGCATGAAAGGTTGTTTTCAGATTAGGAACATGAGATTTTTAGTTTACAAAGCAAGCAAAATTCCATTCCTTTTTTTTATTTGAAAGGTTTAGTTAATGATAATATTGGATTTCTTTACTCAACAAAGTTGTGAAATAGATTACACAAGTATGTCGGTTGGGATAGTACCATTAAATTTCTTGATGCGCTGCTGCCTCTTGGATGGCTTAAATTCGTGCCAATGTCACTACCCTTAGTTGAAAAGGAAATGAAGATAGATACAAGTAAAAGGAAAAGTAGAAATAGCATGGCGGAAAAAGTTGTTTCTATCCTGATAGACAAGAAAGACAATCCGATTTTCAGAGATGAGAATCTAAGCCCTGGAACATGTACAACACCGCTAATGCTAATGGCAGAGATATTATAAGAGAAAAAATACAACACCTCACTGCTCAATCTGACGAATTTCACTCAGCTTTCTGCAACAATGCTGTGTGCTTCAGTTGCGATATCTACAAGAAAATAGGCAAAAGTTAGCATAAGAGATGATATTTAGAAAGGTATTTTTCAAATAATGATTCGTGAACTACTATGGCCTGAGATGTTGATTTAGAAGAGGTCTATTTTTAGAAAAGTTAGTTTATTGTGCATGCTAAACAAGACATTTGGATTTGGACAATAGCTAAGAAGTTCAATAAGATATTTGCAAAAAAGTCTTGCTCTGCCAAATGCTGACTACCCACCCAGAACTTACATATTCCAGCCACAAACAGGTTAACCACCTCCAGATTTTGTCTAAGATTAGTATAATTTGCTTTTATTAACCACTCCAGATTTTGTCTAAGATTAAAATAGTTTGCTTTTATCAACATCCCATTCCTAAAGAAAAAAAAAATCATCATTTTTGTCACATTGTGTGTGAGTATTTTAATGTAGTAATGTTGATTTGATGCTTTACTTCTGAATTTTAAAACAAATAAATACTTGAATTTTTAATGAATTCTTGGCCTACAAAGATGTGGTGAAAGAAATGTTTTAATTACGACTCCGATGGGGATCGAATCCAGAATCTCTGGTTTTGTAAACCAGCGCCTTATCCATTGGGCCACGAAGTCCAATGCTTTTGCAATTAAATTTAAACATTAATATCTTTTAACTTTTGTAGAACTTATTCATTGGGCCAGGGAGAGTTGTGTTTTTATGATTTAAAATTTAAAAATAAATAAATAAAATTAATATTAGGAACAACATAAGGGCCCTACCAAGTTCGAACCGGTGACCTCTTGCTCTGCAGTCAAATGCTCTGCCATTGAGCTAAAGACCCTTAGATGCAAAATTGGACATTTTTCCCTCTATGACTTCTACAAAAAATTTTGCTAATTGCATTTATGTTGATAATCAGAACTTCAATAAGCAAATGCTTTAATCTGTTGGAAAAATTGCATTTTAAGTGGCTATTTTGTTGTACAATTATCAGTGGGTTCCACTTCCGATTTGGGTCTTGTCAAAGTGGATTCGGGTTCTTCGTAGTGAGACGAAGAGATTGATATATTGTACACTCAAAACAGATAATGGGTGAATGATATATTGATTCTCAAAGTAGACCCATTGATCGAGTTGGAAAAATGAAGGGAAAAAGATGAGATTTTGTCCCACATTGATTTGGGAAGTAGATTTGCACCACTATTTATACAAGGGTCTTTTATTAGCTTATTGAATTGTATAACATAGATGTTCTCCCTCCTGTGAGTATATATATATTATATTATTTTCGTAAATCGACTTGGTTCATTAGTTTTCCAACATGCTTGTCTAATAGAACAGGGGCATAAATTAAAGTTAACCGCAGCTTTTAGTTCCCTCTTGTCGCATGAAAGGTTGTTTTCAGATTAGGATCATGAGATTTTTAGTTTACAAAGCAAGCAAAATTCCATTCCTTTTTTTTTATTTGAAAGGTTTAGTTAATGATAATAGTGGATTTCTTTACTCAACAAAGTTGTGAAATAGATTACACAAGTATGTCGGTTGGGATAGTACCATTAAATTTCTTGATGCGCTGCTGCCTCTTGGATGGCTTAAATTCGTGCCAATGTCACTACCCTTAGTTGAAAAGGAAATGAAGATAGATACAAGTAAAAGGAGAAGTAGAAATAGGATGGCGGAAAAAGTTGTTTCTATCCTGATAGACAAGAAAGACAATCCGATTTTCAGAGATGAGAATCTGAGCCCTGGAACATGTACAACACCGCTAATGCTAATGGCAGAGATATTATAAGAGAACAAATACAACACCTCACTGCTCAATCTGACGAATTTCACTCAGCTTTCTGCAATAATGTTGTGTGCTTCAGTTGCGATATCTACAAGAAAATAGGCAAAAGTTAGCATAAGAGATGATATATAGAAAGGTATTTTTCAAATAATGATTCGTGAACTACTATGGCCTGAGATGTTGATTTAGAAGAGGTCTATTTTTAGAAAAGTTAGTTTATTGCGCATGCTAAACAAGACATTTGGATTTGGACAATAGCTATGAAGTTCAATAAGATATTTGCAAAAAAGTGTTGCTCTGCCAAATGCTGACTACCCACCCAGAACTTACATATTCCAGCCACAAACAGGTTAACCACCTCCAGATTTTGTCTAAGATTAGTATAATTTGCTTTTATTAACCACTCCAGATTTTGTCTAAGATTAAAATAGTTTGCTTTTATCAACATCCCATTCCTAAAGAAAAAAAAAATCATCATTTTTGTCACATTGTGTGTGAGTATTTTAATGTAGTAATGTTGATTTGATACTTTACTTCTGAATTTTAAAACAAGTAAATACTTGAATTTTTTATGAATTCTTGGCCTACAAAGATGTGGTGAAAGAAATGTTTAAATTACGACTCCGCTGGGGATTGAACCCAGAATCTCTGGTTTCGTAGACCAGTGCCTTATCCATTGGGCCACGAAGTCCAATGCTTTTGCAATTAAATTTAAACATTAATATCTTTAAACGTTTGTAGAACTTGTTCATTGGGCCAAGGAGTGCTGTGTTTTTATGATTTAAAATTAAAAAATAAATAAATAAAATTAATATTAGGAACAACATAAGGGCCCTACCGGGTTTGAACCAATGACTTCTTAATCTGCAGTCAAATGCTCTGCCACTGAGCTAAAGACCCTTAGATGCAAAATTGGACATTTTTCCATCTATGACTTCTACAAAAAATTTAGCTAATTGCATTTATGTTGATAATCAGAACTTCAATAAGCAAATGCTTTAATCTGTTGGAAAAATTGCATTTTAAGTGGCTATTTTGTTGTACAATTATCAGTGGTGTCCACTTCCGATTTGGGTCTTGTCAAAGTGGATTCGGGTTCTTCGTAGTGAGACGAAGAGATTGATATATTGTACACTCAAAACGGATAATGGGTGAATGATATATTGATTCTCAAAGTAGACCCATTGATCGAGTTGGAAAAATGAAGGGAAAAAGATGAGATTTTTTCCCACATTGATTTGGGAAGTAGATTTGCACCACTATTTATACAAGGGTCTTTTATTAGCTTATTGAATTGTATAACATAGATGTTCTCCCTCCTGTGAGTATATATATATTATATTATTTTCGTAAATCGACTTGGTTCATTAGTTTTCCAACATGCTTGTCTAATAGAACAGGGGCATAAATTAAAGTTAACCGCAGCTTTTAGTTCCCTCTTGTCGCATGAAAGGTTGTTTTCAGATTAGGAACATGAGATTTTTAGTTTACAAAGCAAGCAAAATTCCATTCCTTTTTTTTATTTGAAAGGTTTAGTTAATGATAATATTGGATTTCTTTACTCAACAAAGTTGTGAAATAGATTACACAAGTATGTCGGTTAGGATAGTACCATTAAATTTCTTGATGCGCTGCTGCCTTTTGGATGGCTTAAATTCGTGCCAATGTCACTACCCTTAGTTGAAAAGGAAATGAAGATAGATACAAGTAAAAGGAGAAGTAGAAATAGGATGGCGGAATAAGTTGTTTCTATCCTGATAGACAAGAAAGACAATCCGATTTTCTGAGATGAGAATCTGAGCCCTGGAACATGTACAACACCGCTAATGCTAATGGCAGAGATATTATAAGAGAACAAATACAACACCTCACTGCTCAATCTGACGAATTTCACTCAGCTTTCTGCAATAATGTTGTGTGCTTCAGTTGCGATATCTACAAGAAAATAGGCAAAAGTTAGCATAAGAGATGATATTTAGAAAGGTATTTTTCAAATAATGATTCGTGAACTACTATGGCCTGAGATGTTGATTTAGAAGAGGTCTAGTTTTAGAAAAGTTAGTTTATTGTGCATGCTAAACAAGACATTTGGATTTGGACAATAGCTAAGAAGTTCAATAAGATATTTGCAAAAAAGTCTTGCTCTGCCAAATGCTGACTACCCACCCAGAACTTACATATTCCAGCCACAAACAGGTTAACCACCTCCAGATTTTGTCTAAGATTAGTATAATTTGCTTTTATTAACCACTCCAGATTTTGTCTAAGATTAAAATAGTTTGCTTTTATCAACATCCCATTCCTAAAGAAAAAAAAATCATCATTTTTGTCACATTGTGTGTGAGTATTTTAATGTAGTAATGTTGATTTGATGCTTTACTTCTGAATTTTAAAACAAATAAATACTTGAATTTTTAATGAATTCTTGGCCTACAAAGATGTGGTGAAAGAAATGTTTAAATTACGACTCCGATGGGGATCGAATCCAGAATCTCTGGTTTTGTAAACCAGCGCCTTATCCATTGGGCCACGAAGTCCAATGCTTTTGCAATTAAATTTAAACATTAATATCTTTTAACTTTTGTAGAACTTATTCATTGGGCCAGGGAGTGTTGTGTTTTTATGATTTAAAATTTAAAAATAAATAAATAAAATTAATATTAGGAACAACATAAGGGCCCTACCAAGTTCGAACCGGTGACCTCTTGCTCTGCAGTCAAATGCTCTGCCATTGAGCTAAAGACCCTTAGATGCAAAATTGGACATTTTTCCCTCTATGACTTCTACAAAAAATTTTGCTAATTGCATTTATGTTGATAATCAGAACTTCAATAAGCAAATGCTTTAATCTGTTGGAAAAATTGCATTTTAAGTGGCTATTTTGTTGTACAATTATCAGTGGGATCCACTTCCGATTTGGGTCTTGTCAAAGTGGATTCGGGTTCTTCGTAGTGAGACGAAGAGATTGATATATTGTACACTCAAAACGGATAATGGGTGAATGATATATTGATTCTCAAACTAGACACATTGATCGAGTTGGAAAAATGAAGGGAAAAAGATGAGATTTTGTCCCACATTGATTTGGGAAGTAGATTTGCACCACTATTTATACAAGGGTCTTGTATTAGCTTATTGAATTGTATAACATAGATGTTCTCCCTCCTGTGAGTATATATATATTATATTATTTTCGTAAATCGACTTGGTTCATTAGTTTTCCAACATGCTTGTCTAATAGAACAGGGGCATAAATTAAAGTTAACCGCAGCTTTTAGTTCCCTCTTGTCGCATGAAAGGTTGTTTTCAGATTAGGAACATGAGATTTTTAGTTTACAAAGCAAGCAAAATTCGATTCCTTTTTTTTTTTTTGAAAGGTTGAGTTAATGATAATATTGGATTTCTTTACTCAACAAAGTTGTGAAATAGATTACACAAGTATGTCGGTTGGGATAGTATCATCCAATTTCTTGATGCGCTGCTGCCTCTTGGATGGCTTAAATTCGTGCCAATGTCACTACCCTTAGTTGAAAAGGAAATGAAGATAGATACAAGTAAAAGGAGAAGTAGAAATAGGATGGCGAAAAAAGTTGTATCTATCCTGATAGACAAGAAAGACAATCCGATTTTCAGGGATGAGAATCTGAGCCCTGGAACAAGTACAACACCGCTAATGCTAATGGCAGAGATATTATAAGAGAACAAGTACAACACCTCACTGCTCAATCTGACGAATTTCACTCAGCTTTCTGCAACAATGCTGTGTGCTTCAGTAGCGATATCTATAAGAAAATGGGCAAAAGTTAGCATAAGAGATGATATTTAGAAAGGTATTTTTCAAACAATGATGGGTGAACTACTATGGCCTGAGATGTTGATTTAGAAGAGGTCTATTTTCAGAAAAGTTGGTTTATGGTGCATGCTAAACCAGACATTTGGATTTGGACAATAGCTAAGAAGTTCAGTAAGATATTTGCAAAAAAGTCTTGCTCTTCCAAATGCTGACTACCCACCCAGAACATACATATTCCAGCCACAAACAGGTTAACCACCTCCAGATTTTGTCTAAGATTAGTATAATTTGCTTTTATTAACCACTCTAGATTTTGTCTAAGATTAAAATAGTTTGCTTTTATCAACATCCCATTCCCAAAGAAAAAAAAAATCATCATTTTTGTCACATTGTGTGTGAGTATTTTAATGTAGTAATGTTGATTTGATGCTTTACTTCTGAATTTTAAAACAAATAAGTACTTGAATTTTTTATGAATTCTTGGCATACAAAGATGTAGTGAAAGAAATGTTTAAATTACGTCTCCGCTGGGGATCGAACCCAGAATCTCTGGTTTCGTAGACCAGCGCCTTATCCATTGGGCCACGAAGTCCAATGCTTTTGCAATTAAATTTAAACATTAATATCTTTAAACGTTTGTAGAACTTATTCATTGGGCCAAGGAGTGCTGTGTTTTTATGATTTAAAATTAAAATATAAGAAAATAAAATTAATATTACGAACAACATAAGGGCCATACCGAGTTTGAACCGATGACCTCATGATCTGCAATCAAATGCTCTACCACTGAGCTAAAGACCCTTAGATGTTAAATTGGACATTATTCCAACTATGACTTCTACAAAAAATTTATGTAATTGCATTTATGTTGATAATCAGAACTTCAATAAGCAAATGCTTTAATCTGTTGGAAAAATTGCATTTTAAGTGGCTATTTTGTTGTACAATTATCAGTGGGGTCCACTTCCGATTTGGGTCTTGTCAAATTGGATTCGGGTTCTTCGTAGTGAGACGAAGAGATTGATATATTGTACACTCAAAACGGATAATGGGTGAATGATATATTGATTCTCAAACTAGACCCATTGATCGAGTTGGAAAAATGAAGGGAAAAAGATGAGATTTTGTCCCGCATTGATTTAGGAAGTAGATTTGCAACACTATTTATACAAGGGTCTTTTATTGGCTTATTGAATTGTATGGCATAGATGTTCTCTCTCCTGTGAGTATAGATATATATATTATATTATTTTCGTAAATTGACTTGGTTCATTAGTTTTCCAACATGCTTGTCTGATAGAAGAGGGGCATAAATTAAATTTAACCGCAGCTTTTAGTTTCCTCTTGTAGCAAGAAAGGTTGTTTGCAGATTAGGAACATGAGATTTTTAGTTTACAAAGCAAGCAAAATTCCATTCCTTTTTTTTATTTGAAAGGTTTAGTTAATGATAATATTGGATTTCTTTACCCAACAAAGTTGTGAAATAGATTACACAAGTATGTCGGTTGGGATAGTATCATCCAATTTCTTGATGCGCTGCTGCCTCTTGGATGGCTTAAATTCGTGCCAATGTCACTACCCTTAGTTGAAAAGGAAATGAAGATAGATACAAGTAAAAGGAGAAGTAGAAATAGGATGGCGGAAAAAGTTGTATCTATCCTGATAGACAAGAAAGACAATCCGATTTTCAGAGATGAGAATCTGAGCCCTGGAAAAAGTACAACACCGCTAATGCTAATGGCAGAGATATTATAAGAGAACAAGTGCAACACCTCACTGCTCAATCTGACGATTTTCACTCAGCTTTCTGCAAAAATGCTGTGTGCTTCAGTAGCGATATATACAAGAAAATGGGCAAAAGTTAGCATAAGAGATGATATTTAGAAAGGTATTTTTCAAATAATGATGGATGAACTACTATGGCCTGAGATGCTGATTTAGAAGAGGTCTATTTTCAGAAAAGTTGGTTTATGGGGAATGCTAAACCAGACATTTGGATTTGGACAATAGCTAAGAAGTTCAATAAGATATTTGCAAAAAAATCTTGCTCTGCCAAATGCTGACTACCCACCTAGAACTTACATATTCCAGCCACAAACAGGTTAACAACCTCCAGATTTTGTCTAAGATTAGTATAATTTGCTTTTATTAACCACTCCACATTTTGTCTAAGATTAAAATAGTTTGCATTTATCAACATCCCATTCCTTAAGAAAAAAAAAATCTTAATTTTTTTCACATTGTGTGTGAGTATTTTAATGTAGTAATGTTGATTTGATGCTTTACTTCTGAATTTTAAAACAAATAAGTACTTGAATTTTTTATGAATTCTTGGCATACAAAGATGTAGTGAAAGAAATGTTTAAATTACGTCTCCGCGGGGGATCGAACCCAGGATCTCTGGTTTCGTAGACCAGCGCCTTATCTATTGGGCCACGAAGTCCAATGCTTTTGCAATTAAATTTAAACATTAATATCTTTAAACGTTTGTAGAACTTATTCATTGGGCCAAGGAGTGCTGTGTTTTTATGATTTAAAATTAAAAAAAAATAAATGAAATTAATATTAGAAACAACATCAGGGCCCTACCGGGTTTGAACCGGTGACCTCTTAATCTGCAGTCAAATGCTCTGCCACTGAGTTAAAGACCCTTAAATGCTAAATTGGACATTTTTCCATCTATAACTTCTACAAAAAATTTTGTTAATTGCATTTATGTTGATAATCAGAACTTCAATAAGCAAATGCTTTAATCTGTTGGAAAAATTTCATTTTAAGTGGCTATTTTGTTGTACAATTATCAATGGGTTCCACTTCCGATTTGGGTCTTGTCAAAGTGGATTCGGGTTCTTCATAGTGAGACGAAGAGATCGATATATTGTACACTCAAAACGGATAATGGGTGAATGATATATTGATTCTCAAAGTAGACCCACTGATCGAGTTGGAAAAATGAAGGGAAAAAGATGAGATTTTGTCCCACATTGATTTGGGAAGTAGATTTGCACCACTATTTATACAAGCGTCTTTTATAGACTTATTAAATTGTATAGCATAGATGTTCTCTCTCCTGTGAGTATATATATATATATATATATATATATATATATATATCTATATACATATATATTATCCTCGTAAATCGACTTGGTTCATTATTTTCCAACATGCTTGTCTGATAGAAGAGGGGCATAAATTAATGTTAACCGCAGCTTTTAGTTTCCTCTTGTCACAAGAAAGGTTGTTTGCAGATTCGGAACATGAGATTTTTAGTTTACAAAGCAAGCAAAATTCCATTCCTTTTTTTTATTTGAAAGGTTTAGTTAATGATAATATTGGATTTCTTTACTCAACAAAGTTGTGAAATAGATTACACAAGTATGTCGGTTGGGATAGTATCATCCAATTTCTTGATGCGCTGCTGCCTCTTGGATGGCTTAAATTCGTGCCAATGTCACTACCCTTAGTTGAAAAGGAAATGAAGATAGATACAAGTAAAAGGAGAAGTAGAAATAGGATGGCGAAAAAAGTTGTATCTATCCTGATAGACAAGAAAGACAATCCGATTTTCAGGGATGAGAATCTGAGCCCTGGAACAAGTACAACACCGCTAATGCTAATGGCAGAGATATTATAAGAGAACAAGTACAACACCTCACTGCTCAATCTGACGAATTTCACTCAGCTTTCTGCAACAATGCTGTGTGCTTCAGTAGCGATATCTATAAGAAAATGGGCAAAAGT